GGCTCATCCATGCTATAGGATGAGAAATCTGGGGTTTTTTGGGCACAAAACTTCTTACTGCTGGCATATCCCAGCCTGTGCCTTAGATGTTTAGAGGCAATTCATAGGCACATTTACAAAATTTCCTCATTGCATGCCATAAAATTGCTGTCCAGGTTGCTGTGCAATCACCTTTAATGCTGTTTAGGTACACTCCCTCAACCAACAACCATAGGCAAGAACTAGCCTCCACCTGCCTATGAATGCTGAGTGCAGGTAATACGAAGCCAGTGTTAACATCAGCTATCATTTTCTGGTTTCAGATATGAGCTGCCTTTTGAAAATTCAAACCATAAACTTTCAAAATATCTGCTATGCTTTTCTGACAAAGTCCATTAATACTTGTATATGCTCTTCTTGATCTATATTTCATTTTGTGGCATTTCTCTGCTATGACTTGGGTTCTTAAAGGAAAATGACCAGGAAAAGTGCTCTTAAAGCAGCACAGGTTTATAGGCCTAATTTGATCACACAGTTAAATTCCTCTCCATGTGCTAAGCTACAATTTGATGCAGTTAACTTTTCTCTTTAATGTGAAAAATCACAGATTTCAGTGTTCACTTCCTTTCTATATCAGGAATATTTAGTGGATTTTAAATAACGAATGAGCTTTAAGACTTTTCTGAAAAGAAACCGCTACCTTTGTATTTTGCACAGCGTTGATTCTCAGCACGAGTGACTACCTTGTATCCAGAGTCATAGCAAACCCGGTTCAGGAAAACAAAATTGAAGCACATCTCAGTACTGTAACACCCATCTGAATCTAGAAATGGGAAGGTACAAACACGCAGCATCAAAATGAAAGCAATCTCTGTCTCCTAGGGTGGGTTTAGACTCCCTATGGCATTTGCGCAGTTCAGCTTTGCTCAGTTGTAAGCCCAGACCAAGGGCTTATTCTGCATCCCTGTGCAGGAAAGGGAGCTCTGAACAGGCCGCGGAAGGTCCATCTCAAGACAGGGAGCGAGCCAGCTCCTCAGCAAATCCTGCTGCCTATGCCAAGAACCACGCTTACAAAGTCTGCCTTGATCTTTCATTTGATGGAAAGGCGGATTGCAGCAATAAGGAGAACTTATTATTCAGATTCCTGTGTCTCAAACAACTGTACATAGCATTGAAATCTGAGTATCAATGAGGGACAATATCAAGCCCTCTGTCTTCCTCCATATTTAAAAAAACAAACCTGCAGCAACAGAATGATCAAATTTCAGAACTTTCTTTCACCTTTGCTTTGCACCAAACGTTAATTCAAAATAATAGTAGAAAAGAAGCATTTCACCTGTATTTGTATAAGAGACACAGAATTAAGTAATGTGTTACAGCACTTGTCTCAGAGGGCTCTAGAAAGCCTGAAGGCTCTTGCATGGAGCATTGTCCAAGCATTGTGTAAAAAACATTCCCCCTTTCTAAAGGAATGTAGAATTGGTAAAAGCAGGTTTCCTCACCAGCCCTTTGAGGCTTTTTCAGAAGTTTTTCAAAGTCAATTTGTAACTGCCCATATAACACAGACAGATCACTTAAGACAGAAGGGATTTCACAGAGGAAAAAAAAGTGTTTGTAGAAATGATTCAGCCATGCAGAGTCACTTGCTCAGCACAGAAGAGGCTGCTTCCCACCTAAGTAGCATTTAGAAATTAACTGGTGAGCGGGACAGCTGTGGAAAGCTTCTGTCCTGGCCTCAGCAGACCCCTATAACACCCCTGTGCTGGCCGTGCAGCTCTGCAGAAACATTCTGACCTGAATCCCCATGACTTTGGATTCACAGAAATTAAGACCAGATGTTGTCTCCATGGAATTCAAAACGTTGAGAGATTACATGCCTGTCCTCTTCTCCTTAGCCTGACCCTCTTGATCGATAGAGCTTCAAACCTCCGCCGTTATGCTGGGTCATGTCCACTGCATTTAGGGTTCAAAAGAAACTGGAAAGATTCTTGCAGCAAGGATGCAACCTTTTCTCTAAGCAAGAGCACAGGTCTGCATGCGGAGCAATCTCTTTTACGTGTAGAGTAGAGCGACCATCCCAGCATAAGTGACAGAAAATCAATTTGAAATCTGAGCATCAAATCAGAGAGCTCAGAAAATACCTGAATTCATATTCCCAGCTCCGGACTGCAATGAAACCTCTCCTTTAAAGAAAATCAAAAGCAAACAGAAGTAAACACATTTAACTAGCAACCTATATGATATTGTTTACCTATTATGTTGGTCAGATAATTTAGCGCTGAATAGAGATGAAAACCCTAAACGGGAACATAAAAGTCAAAATTCCAGTTCTGGCACCATATCAGATAAGTCAATCAGATACTGAAAATGAGTCTAAAAATGCTATTTGTGCTGGAAGATTTTAGTTCATGCATTTCAACAATTACGATTTATTCAAATATGAGAATATAGCATAGACTATAACTCTTCACTTGCCTCATGAATTGTTCTATAAATGGCAATGAAACTGTAATGCAAAAAATATCCTGGCTTATTGTAATAGGTGGAGTTACAGTATCAGTTCCTTAACTGTCAGAAACTGGTGCAGAGGCACCAAAGCAAAAGGATCCCTGCTGAATCGTATAGAGATTCTGGCTCATGCAGTCCACACTCTGCTGTTATTTGCAGGACGGTAAGGGGAAATTTGCTGCACTAGCATTAATGTTGCATATTCTTCCCCGACTTCCTGATTTGCGTTGGCGATTTATGTTTCTTTGGCTACCTTATAAAGCCATTGATTAAACAGAAAGGCATTGCTGCATTTTAACCCTTCTCAGAACTCTTCACAGTTATTTCCAGAGCAACATTTTTTAAGAGCTTCATCCAACCTTTCTGCCATTATACATCTTTATCTTTTCTTAAGGAAAACTAAAGACGTTGAATATTTTTTCAAAATCAAATTTTAAGTCTATTATAAGCAATTATCTCTCCCAGGTTCATTTCCCTACCTTTATATGGAGATTGAAACCTTTGCATATTACCCTTGGATTTGTGTCTCAGATGGCTTCTTTATTTTAATATTGCTTTTAAAATATTGTTTTATTGTTTTTTAGAGTTGATAATTTTATGAACTGTATAAGTTTAAAGAGAAAACATCTAGCTATTTCTTACAAATCTACTATTTTTAGGCTATTTCAAAATTAAATTTGCTTATCTCAATGTACATTTGAGATAACTTATATGCTGAATTTTAATGTTTTTCTGAATTCAGAACCTATGATCTAATTCCAGAAGACTGGACTTAGTTATTTTTTTCATGTGTAGCACATTCCACTTCAATCAATCAAGGAATTGCAATAAAAAAATCTCGTATTTAGATAAATCATTGCAGAGCTTAGGTCTAAAAATTTAATTCCCTCCTCTGTGGTCTAAAAAGAGAAGTGTCGGAAGGAGGCTGTAGCTGTGCGAGAAGGCAGATAGACTCTTCAAAGGAAAACCCACATCTAAAGTCTCTGCTTTACAGCAAGGCCCAATCTACTGGTCCAGTTGCTCATGTCAGCAGGACTTCTCAGGAAGCTTCTTCTTTGGCTCCATATAACCAAAGGAAGTGACTTTCTGCTGGGAAGTCCGGGGAAGAGAGAAAACCAGAAACCACAACAGAAGCACAGGGAACTAATAATGACAAGTGCATAGAAAAAAAGAAAAAAGACTAAAAGAGGATTTTAAAGTGAAACATAGATATGTAGTTACTCTGAATAACGTATAAGTTTAATGAGTATTCCGTTAAATATTTGGATAGCTAAAACATCTATGGCCAATAATACTGCCGTGGGAAACTAGCAGAATAAGACAAAAATATTTTACAAAATTTTACGGTATTTTATAATAGCAACAAGTGTTAAAGGGAAGACCGTCATTAGGAGGTTAATCTGATGAATGGTAAAAATAGAATCTTTTCTTTTAGAAAGAATTTGTGCAAACAAGAACAAAGTATTTTAATAACCTTTTTAAGGGATGATATTTGGGAAACCAGTAAGAGCTAATAATTTTCCAGGTGGATGTGATATTTGTGAAAGAAACACCTTTTAAGATTCAAGAGGCATTTAGATCTTGCAGGATTAATTCAACACCATTCCCCATAAATTCTAAAACTGCAATTTGGCAAATGCTGGGATAAGGTCATAAAGAGTTTTGAACATTTTCCAAAGGATGGAGGCAATCATGGATATTTTGAAAAAGCTGAAAAGAAAGGCATGTAGGAAATACTGTAGCATCTCCATGCATATTGCATCTTACAGACCCTTCCATTACACTGCACAGATTGAAGGCTAGAGCAATAAAAAGTAGGTTTCACAAATTAGGCACTGAAATCCAGATCTTCGATCTGCTGTGTCACCACATCACAGCACGTTGCTTTCCCTAGGCTGCCTCTGAAACATTTGGAGGGAGTTTTATATTTCAGACTAGAATCAGCAACCAGAGGTGGTGTGCGGGGAATAAAAGCATTTTATCTAGGTAGTAAGAAACATTACATAAAAGATGGCTGAAATTGCACCCCCTTCCTTCCTTTTAAAGCTCCCCCTGGGACTACAGCAGTAGTGCATTCATGTCAACCTTTAGGGATTAGCTGCCTGCCGGGATCAGTGGTGATCTGGGCACAGTTCCCTCCTCAGCACCAGCAAGTTTAACCTCATGCTCCCCACTACTCAGAGCATCCTAGAAAGCAGAGCCACTATAGGTTAAACCTGGGCCATGGCACTTCCTCACCTTGTGCCTTTGCCTCAGTGGGAGACACAAATTTGAATCTCTGTTAGCCATTGAAAAGACTGTTTCATATATCCCTTACTTCCAAGGCAAGCAGTCTCACCATGGAACCAAAGGTGAAAAATAGACAATTTTCATCCATATTTTAAAATAAAATGTCTGAAATTGCATGAGATGAAAGTCATGTTCGTAAGTGGAGGAAATGACTCGGAAACAGACACCAGTTTTGAACCACGTAGAGGACCTCAGGGACACCTAGTATCTGGATGCTGGTCAACATGAGGAAGAAGGAAGACACTGGGTGAGTCAGTCACACCGGGCTATTTCTAGGTATTCATAAAAGCTTCACTGTTTTTTTACCCTGAAAAACAAACAAACAAAAAAAGAAAAAAAGCAGAGAGGGAAGGGTGATCTGACAGGAATCTATAAAATCAGTACTAATGTGGAGAAAGAGAATAAAGAAGTATTATGGTGCTAATACAGTTCATGTATTAGAAAAGGCATTAAGGGACACCAGAGGAAACCACAGGAGATAAGTACAAAACCAGCAAAGGATATACTGCTTCACACAACACATGGTTGATTTACAGAAGATATCAGTTATCTACAGGAAGTTGTAGAAACTACAAAATACTACCTTTTGAAAAAGCAACTGGAGAAAAATCTATTGAGGGCTATTAAATATGGAGAGACCATCAAATTCCTTAAGCCAGAAAGCTCTGGATGTACAGGTGATGGCCCAGTATGGTATTTTTGTATTACATCATCTGTTGTAACCATCTCTATCTAGACTTTAAGGGCAAGTGGTGAGGTGCCGATTAGATTAAATGCCTACAGAGTTAGGTGGATGACATGCTGAAAAGTTTTTTTTTTTTTAATAGTCCAAGCTTTGAACAATCATAACACTGCAATAGCATTGCAGTATGGGTGATAAAACCCAGTTGGTGACTGTTTGAGAAAAAGAAATATTATCAGAATAAATACGTGCTTTCAAAGAAATTCCATAAGAGCATGTAACAGCACGGCTGCTGGGTTCCAGTGCAGGAATATGGGATTTCTGGTGGGAATCTCTTTGTAGTTGAAATACCAGAGTATATAGGGAAATTAACAAAAAAAATCTATTTAAATTGTGAGATATGGGAATGGGGAACAGCATTTAAGGATCATCTTAAATGATCTGCACCAAAGTTTCTGATATGATGGTGATATAGTTGTAACAAAACAGACAGAATATTTGGTACAAAGGGAGGATGGAGATTTAAAGACAGAGGAGCCGTTAAGGAAAAAGAAGAAATGCTCATAGCAGAAGAAGAAGAAGAAGAAAAGCTTAAGAAATTTATAACAGATCTATACAGAAGCAAGCAGTATGAATGAAACATAATCCTAACAGTTTTAGTGGACAGAGTATATACCAGCTTTAGGCAGACAGACCACTTAAGCATCTCTTGAAAGGCCACTTCTGTAGTTGAACAAGAAAAAAAAAGACATATGTTATTAAGCAAGCTCTAAATTCTCTTTAAGCGCTCTCTAAACTACCATAATGGAAAAATATGCCTATGACAGTGGCAAATCATGGAACCAGCCTGGTATTCGTAAGTCTGCAGAGCTAGGGAATAGGAGTAATGAGTGCCATATTAATGAAAATATCAATTAAAATTGTATGGCCATCAAAGGAATACAAATTGAACTTTTCTTTGAATGAACTTCAACACCCCACAGGACAGCAGTATGAGGCCTAAGAAGTGTATATATTTCACTTATAACTTCAAATAATCAGAAATGGTGTGGAAACACTATATAAGGAATATTTTTCTAATTAAAAAGGGAGGATTTTTTTTTTTAATACAAATCTGAGTTTTGTTACTGCACTCAAACTTTCATGGAAAACGTGCAATTTCTTCAGAGGGCCAGGAATCAGAAAAGCAAAATGTATGTTGGAATTCACCTCCCAAAGAAATGAAACAAGAAATCAGTTTGGACTTTCAACTAAATATTGAAAGGTTCCATTAGGATTTTTCTC